ATTTAGTGGATTATCTGTGTTTACTGTTTAGTGAACTGTGCTTACTAATAGTTTGGTGGCTTTGGATTTATAATTTTTTTTTTTCTCCTGATGTTTTTGGAAATCAATCTCGGGGATGAAATTTGAAATGTTTGCTTTCGTGCATCATAATGAAATTTGAACGTGTTTGGCAAAATAAGTAACTTAAAAGATAAGTTCGACTTGCTCTTATGCACCACTAAATCGTTAAAGTCCAGATAGAAAGTGATAGTAATAGTTTGAAGGTGGTCTGAATAAACTTGCTATGGTATGTGCCATGATGGATAAGAAACGAAGTTAATTGTGTTTCGTATCATCATTCTCCTATAATAAGTTAATAACCTACTTATTTATGAGAAAAAAACACAAATTAATCTAATATTTCATAGAATAACAATTAGGAAGTTCTCTTACTTTATGAAAACGAGTTTTACTCGCTCATTCATAAAAAGGAATGTTTAACTGGTCGAAATTATGCTCGACTATTATGATTCGTCTCGTAAGGCAGATGAAAAAGAAGATAAAATTTTATTTTTATATTTTCTAGTACATTTTAGTACTTTGTAAGAAAACATTATACACACGGTATACATTTATATATAGGAATTTAGAACTTCTTGAATGTAAAAGCCTTACGGCTGCATTACCTTTTGCCAATATGTGGAAACACGGTTAATGAGAGACAAATATTGTTTCCTAGGACTTGTTAAAAATTGGCCTCCTTCAAAAGTCTGTCCAAACGGCCAGCCTGCTGGTACAATGTTGTGGCTGGTAACTGTGTGGCCATCACTGGCTGTTACTCTAAAAGAAAGACTTTGGCCGTTTAGGTATGAATTGCTCTGCCAATTTTGGCCCCAATTTCTTGACAACTGTTGCCAACCAGTGCTTGACCCTTTGATCCATACTGCATGCACATCTCCTACTCCACCTACGTTTGTTATCAACACCAAGTTGAAGTAAGAATGGCCATTGATTGTGAACCTCATTCCTCCTTTCTTCACACATGGAATCCTGTCAAAAAGCAACATAAATGACGTCGTTGATGAATCCGTTAACAACTGTCGTATGATTATTATAAGGAAGTACAATCAAAATGACGCACATATAACTAGGTGATAATGATCTTTTAATATGTGTGATAAAGTAGACTGAACAAAAGAAAAATAAGTTAAAAAATTGTCTATTATACTAATTATTAGGGCAAGAGATATCTTGTCCACTGGTCGAGTCTAAAAATACCTGTTAGGTGTCTTGCTACCTCATCGATGGACAAGATACCTTCTTCCCACCATGGACAGGAGATCGGTATGCTATTATTGTGTGCCAATTGCCAAACGTGCCCTTTATGAGTTGCATTACAATCCATTTATGCATTTCCATCATTTACTGCTCATTTTGGAAGTTTATGGAGGGTTTGGTACGTGATAGTGAAATTTAAGAGCTCCAATTATTATTAAAAAAGAAAAAGAAAAAATAGTTATTTAATTTCAGAATTTGAAACTGAGCATTTTTAACTCAAAATTATACCTTCTATAGGCCACAGGAACTATACCAGCATGGTACAGTGCAATTTTCAAGAATGCAGGCTGAGCCAGATCGAAGTGTTGAAGAGGTGGATTGCACCAGCCGCCGTTGTTATTAGCTAATGCATAGTTTGGTGAGCAGAAATTGGTGGCGGTGATGGTTATCGTCCCCGGAAGACACCATTTGGGGTCGTCGTTGCACCTCATTTCGTAGCACGCACCACAGCTCAGCCCATTGTTGAAAAGGGCAGTGCTCAATGCAGAAGTATTAGTCCCATAACCTTGGCTGTACAAATTACCATATCCACACGCCCCACCTGAAAACAACGATGCCATGTTTATTACATATACTGGATTGGACCAAATATTATTACATAGTAATGTGTGTGATCTAACGTATCATTGTTCCAGAAGCATCGGAGCCTCCGTAAAATGTTGCATGGGCTTTTTGCCAACCGCCATAGGCGCTGCCACCGTACCCGTATGTGTTATGGAAAGATAAAACCAATACAAGAAAATGAATGTATTGTGCTTTGCTAATCATTTTATGTGAACACGCTAGGGTAGGGTCCAGCGGGTGACTTAATTTTATTTATTTATTTTCTTAAATTCTTGATTTCTAGTTATGCAAATGGAATGACTATATATATAGGAAGGTTAGGGTGGGACTAAAATTGAATAAATAACAAACACCACACGTTTGAAACCGGCCAAAAACCTGAAAAACAGATTGGATTTAATTTCACAACCAAATTATGCTTATTATTATTATTATTATTTTTT